CCGCCCCCAGCATCCGTGCGCAGGCGTGTTTGGCCCGCAGCCCCTCCGAGGTCGCTGTCCTGCCCTCCCGTCGCTTTTAAGAGCTACCAGCCGGGAAAGGAGCATGCCGCCCTCTTTTAGGCCAGTCATGACGGCGTATCCTAGAAATACTGCCTGTGAAATGCTAGAAATGCTGCACGGGTGCTTGCTGTGGTGAGAGAACTGAGGTTCCCCCCTGCCTCCCAGTCTTCCCCAGTTGAAAAGAAAAAGTCATAAAAGTAATGGTTTTCATGCTGGAGCCCTGGGATTACTGGATAGCGGAGTATCTGTCTCTGAGATTCATGTTGTTCTGATCCAGCAGCAACCATGTCATATTACAACAGCCAGCATTCATTCACCCACCACTCTTTTGTGTTCGTGCAGGGGATCCTGATGTCTCCAAGGTAGTAGCTGATGAAACCACAGTCCTTGATGTCCCTACTGAGTTTAGCAGGCCAGCCACCACACACTTCCACAGGCTGCAAGAAGAGGAAAGCACAACTTCTGAACATGAGCTGTGGCAAGCCAGGGTGCTGAGGACTGAGAATCAGCACCTTGAGACCATCTCGACCATTAAGGCCAATGGCAGGTGCAAGGAAGAATTGGATGAGGGTGTGGATCCCGGATCTGCAGCAGAAAAAGTGGAGATGGGGCATAAAGAGGCATGTCCAGGAGACCTGGATCTGTTGTCGCCCTCAAGCGGGGTTTGGCTCAATGCTCGTTTGGTTGGCAAGCCATGCAAGGTGCATGCTCTGGCCAGCCAGCTCCAGAAGTGCCTGCAGGACTGTAGCGGCAAGACAGCTGGGTGGGAATCCCAGCAGCCCAGTCCTTCTGAAGGAGAGAGTGTAGAGACTTGTGAGAAAGAGAGCAAAGCTTCCAAAGACTCCACACTGGTATTCCCAGACCATGGGGAAAAGGGCCCACTGGAGGGCCCTGAGGGGCACGAGGAGTATACGGAGCTGGTGAAGTGTCATTCTGGCAGCCCAGGCCCCCGACCAAAAGCTGTGTCCCAGAAGGAGATGATCAAGCGCAGGTACCGCTGTGGGGAGTGTGGTAAAGCCTTCCTGCAGCTCTGCCACCTCAAGAAGCACCGCTTTGTCCATGCTGGCCACAAGCCCTTCCTGTGCACAGAGTGTGGCAAGAGCTATAGTTCAGAGGAGAGCTTTAAGGCCCATGTGCTGGCCCACCGGGGTGTGCGGCCTTTCCAGTGCACCCAGTGCGACAAGGCTTACTGCACCAAGCGAGACTTGCAGGAGCACCAGGTCCTGCACACTGGCCAGCGCCCCTTCTCCTGCGAGCAGTGTGGCAAGGCCTTTGCACGCCGGCCCTCTCTCCGCATTCACAGAAAGATCCACTTGGCCACAGGGACTGGCCCAGCTGGTCCCAAGGGATGCCAGTGTGCCATATGTGGACGCCACCTGGCCAACCCTGGCTCCTTGCGCAACCACATGCGCCTGCACACCGGGGAGCGCCCTTACGCCTGTCCCTACTGTGCCAAGGACTTCCGACAGCAGAGCAACCTGCGCGAGCACCTCCGGCTGCACACGGGTGAGAAGCCCTACCAGTGCCGCTTCTGTGGCGACGCCTTCCCCAAGCTGCCAGAGCTGCGGCGCCATCTCATCTCCCACACGGGTGAGGCCCACCTATGCACCGTGTGCGGCAAGGCGCTGCGGGACCCCCACACGTTGCGAGCCCACGAGCGCTTGCACACAGGCGAGCGCCCTTTTCGCTGTGAGCAGTGCGGCAAGTCCTACACCCTGGCCACGAAGCTGCGGCGCCACCAGAAATCCCACCTGGCTGACAAGCCCTACAGATGCGAGCTCTGTGGCATGGGCTACACCCTTCCCCAGAGCCTTGCGCGCCATGTGCTGACCCACAAGGTCGAAAAGGACCCCAAGGAACTCACCACTGCAGTGTCCTCACTTGATGTGGACCCACCCCAGGCAGCAAGGAAAAGGCCTCAGAGGAAGGGCCACCAGGAGGAAGTTGCGGCAGAGCCCACCTTGCTCATGGTGGAGGTGCCAGGACCAGCAAATGAGGCTGAGCTGCTGATCGCAGCCAGCAGTCACTGCATTGCTACTTACCAGTCTCAGGGCAGCCCCCCAGATCCTGGGGTGCATGGGAGGCCCACTGGGCATTTGCCATCAGCAAAGGACATCATTGAAATCACCATCTCCGAGCATGAGGACAAATGCATTGTAGTGCAGGACGAGGGCTCACCAAGTGATGTGGTCATCATTCAGGAGGGGTTGGGCTTCGGAGCAGTGGCAGAAGTGGTGGAGGTTGAGACTGGGACCTGACTATCCCAGCCTGCCCTGGCTGATCTTCCTCTGTACTTATTAAAATGGGGTAAAAAAACAACAAAGCCCCTAGTTCTCTTGTCTCTCTGTGGCAACAAGGCCCTGCAGCTCAGCCCCAGGCAGAATTAGCAGTCCTGGAGGTAACTGCCTGCATAGACCTGGGTCTTTTCGGTAGCTGCCCCTTGGAGCTGTGAGCCTACATGTGCCTCATGCTGCGCCTGGTGCAGAGAAGGTGCTGGCTGTTGATGGGAATAGCTTCTTAGAGAAGACTCCTGCAGTGTTAATGAGCAGTGCTTTTGCTCTGCCTGTGTTACGCTGTCAGTGGGTGACAGCGTGCTGTGGGGAAGGCAGGAAAAGTCTCAAAGCAGCAGCTTTGAACAATGCCTTCCTTTCAAGTTTTTCTTTCTCTAATTAATTGTTGCTATTCAAGCACTTTCCTGGGCTTTTACTCGTGGAGCTCAGCAGCGCTTCCGATCATATGAAGGTGACGCTGATGGCAGGCATTGCTGGGAAGCGGCTTCCCAACTGTTTGCAAGGTGTCTCTCTTACGGGTTTTTTTGAGGAGCATTTTTCACAAATAGTGGAAACAAAGTCCTGCCCTGGAGCTGGGGCTGCGTGTTCCTACTCCATTGTCACCTGTTCTGCTTGCTCTCGGCTTCCTGGCCTTACAGTGACTGGATGGTCTGTCTGAGGACATGAAAGGATACCTTCATGCCTCACTGTGCAAATAGCATTGTACGGTGCAATTTTCACTGTCCTCAGCTGAGAGGCTCCTCACCTCTCCAGGTAAGGGTCCAACAGTTCATCTCGGTATGCTCAGATTTTGTCATTCCCCTTTGCATTCAAGTTGGTTTCGTTAATCTGTTTCCCTTGTTCTTTTTCTCACATTCTTGCTTCCTCTCTTCCACTTCCTCCCCGCTCCTGCAGCAAAAAGCTAAAGGACAGCACCACCACAGCTACACCCCAATATTCCCACTGCTCAATCTTTAGTGCTCATTTGCCAGCTGAGGCACGCTGAAGGAAATTGGTCACGTTTTGGGAAGGAGGTGCACAGTTCCCAATGCCATGTGAACATGGCCTTGTAGGAAGAGACCAACAATACCAGCCCTAACAGAGGTCTTTCAGACTTGCCCACCCTGCACTCCCTTTTCATGTGTTGTACAAACACTGCTTTCATTTGCTGCATCCTCAGTTTTAGCTGTTCTTGGTCCCCATCTTGCCCCTCTCTAACATCTGCATTTCCCAAAAAAAGTTTTGTTTAGGGCCTAAATTATCTGGGCTTTTTATGGCCACTGCACAAGAGGAGGGTATAGTGTCACCGGGGAACTGTCGGTAGCACGGTTCCCTTTTGGGGTGCTGTGAACACAGTAATGTGACGATCTGAAAAGTGCTCTTTGTAGTTTCCACATTCAACTTTTTTCCACAAACTTTTACGACCGATTTGCAAAGGTGCTGCAGTCAGATGTGAAGTAAGGATGGAAGGTGAATTCAGCTGATAAACCTTTGAGTGTCCTTATTTTCAGCTATTTTCTTTGAAGTCAGGGGGCAGATGAGCTCAGTCTTCGCCCTGAGCGCTTGGAGGCAGACCAGTGAGAGCAGAGGTGTACGAGGGGGGCTTCTACTTGAAGCCACAGCGCTTCCTACTGCTCTCCCTTTGGTGCCTATCCTAACTCTTGCAGTTTCCAAATATTGACACAGCTGCAAAGTGTTCTCACTGGAGTTGGGCTCGTGCGCTGTGTTTGAAGCATGTGCCCTGTGTCACAGCACAACTGGGAGAGAGGGGGGAGCAACTGGGGGAAGGGAAAGGGGGAAATCCAGGCCCCTGTTGCTTAATCTGCTGACTTACAGCTACCTTCTTCATTCTGAGATAATAGGAGAGAAAAAGTAGGAGCAATTATGAATTAGGAGGTCCTCACAGAAACATTTTTCACCTAACAGTTGATCTGAGTAGGTAGGGGCAGGTCTGTGCTGTGCTGCACGTATCACTTGGCTGCAGGATACACTTAGCTGGCTAATCCTGACTGAGGAGCCCATAGGTGCCTCCCACCGGGCACCGGGTGATGATGCCACCATCGTGTCTTTGTCTTTATCTTGGAAGCAGCATGTTCTTATGTGAACACCTTTTGCTTGACAGCAAAATGATGAATAAAGTTGTTTCCTCCTAAGAAAATCCTACAAAAAGTCTGAAGACCCCCGATGCTGGTGAACCTCAACATGGATGGGATCTGTGCTGCATGCCATAGCCTGACTAGATATCTGTCCGATGCTGTACAGCTTGGTGTTTGCAGCATCTGAAGGGGTGTAGGATTATCCAATGCTATACCCTTTCTTGTGTAAATGGTATTTTAATTAATACATTATGGGCTCTCAGTGTCTTTCTTACTGGATCCATAGCAAACACTTGTACCAGTGCATTACATTTGGTGTCATCAGCAGGATCCTGGTGAGAAACACCTTACTGGAAGAAGGATAGTGAGGAAAAGGATGGTCCCATACGCTGGCGTGAGGAACAGTCACAAAGCATGCTGCATTATAATGCCAATAATCACTGTGCTTTGGGGCAGCAGACACATGGGTCAGCTGGCTGGCTGGAGATCTCACCCACCCAGGACCCTTACACCTTCAGGCAGCAAGCACACAGGTCTCCAGGCTGGTGCAGCTCCACCATGCTGGCAGGGCTTCAACAGGGCTTTGGGGTGCTGCTGCAATGCTCCAGGGTGACAAGTGCACAGGTCTGTCAGATGGTTGGGGTCCTTCATGCTGGCACGGCCTCACCAGGTATCAGGCTTGCACGTAAACTCAAGTGTTATGCATAAACCTCAACATGGCCAGGGTTCAACCCTTGGCCAACTTGTAAACTGGCTTAAATCTGGCCAAGGCATTTGAATGAAAGGGTGGCAGCGGGCTGCGAGGGACAGAAGACAATTTGCTGGGTCCTGAATTCCTCCCTGCTTGGCAGCTCCCCCAGGAAACCCCTGTGTGAGGCAATGGGGGATTCATCCTTTGTGATTGTACTGGAAATGTTACAACTGGTGATCAAACTGTATAACTTCAGGAAAATACTCAGAAATGCCCCAACTATTGAACCAGCAAACTGTCTCTGTCACAGAGCAGAAGAAGGCCCAGGAAAAGAGGCCAAGGCCAAACTCTCTATACTCTGCTCCCTGGAAGTTGGAAAAATAGTTACATAGGACATAAACAATTGCCAAAGGCTTTCTTCACTTAAAAAGAAGAGTCAGCTCATTGAGGGAA